ATACTTGTAAATTTACTCGGTTTAAAGTATAGATATAATACAAAAATAATATTTTCTGACATCTGACACAAATAGCCATCTAGTTTCAAACTAAGCGGAGCTTGTACTATGAAAGCTAGATTGACTGATAGAATACTTGGATACTTTTTTTTGTAAATACGTACATATTGTACATAGAAAACACCCAAACTGCGAAGTAAATATAATTGCAGATCATACAAACATTTGGTTTGACCAGGGAACCGAACCGGAAACCTTAGCCCAGCAGTCGCATACGCTACCACTGCACCACCAATACAGTAAACACAAACAGATGTTTCAGATGTTTTCAAAACATAAAAAAAAACATGCAAACCTGTTACGCTTTACAAAATATAATTTATTGACGTTCGCTATTAATATTTTTTTATAGAATACAAATCAAACGAACAGGGCCTCAATTCTGCTATTACGCCAAGCCAGTGGTGTGCGTTACCCCAGCAAAATAATGTCGAAAATGGTCATTTAAACGTTATAGATAATTAGTTGCTCCCCTTCTGTAATTGTTAAGCACATTTTTAAATTTGTTTCACTTAAACTTTTTTAGTTATTTCAAAAAAAACATTTCCTGCTGGGGTAACGTTTGAAACGTTACCGCAGCCAGACATTTTCTTTTTTAATTGTAATATTGAAATAAATTTTAGCTAAATAATTAGTTATCTGGACTAGGTAAATGTTACAACTTATTTGGTATTTGTATTTTCTTCGGCTGCGAAGTTATTCGAAATCCTGCTGGAGTAACGTTTGTGGGTTTGCTGGATCTCTGAAACGGGTAAGCGGATTGTTACCATCTTTTGTACATAACTTCTTAAGGATTAGTTTTAATTTGTTCGACAATAAAATAACAAAAATAATGGACCGTTTAAAAATTATTTAGGTAAGTATGAAAACACTTCAATACGTCCTAACACTTTAAATAAGACCTCTAAAGACTTACTTGAAACGTTATTCTATTGCTTGTAACTACCTTCAAATGTATACGAATTTTCGTAGGAATACTGTAAGTGACTAAAAAGTTATGATGAAATGTAGCTCTCCACGTTCACGATCAAAATGTATGCGGCCTTTTTTAGCCACCGATAAACATGTGTGTGGATATATAAACTGAATGTTATGCCAATAATTAGTTGTTTAGTTCAGTTGTCTACCTGTAGAATTTCAGCGTCGTACATATAATAATTTACGAAATAATTAAATAAAAGTCATTAGAAGGTGCAAGTCCGTGGTAATCCGACCATGTTTAGGTGGTTACAATAAAGCGATCACCCAGTACATTGCGCTGTCTTTTAAAATGTTTAGTGTAATACACCTTACGATTTCGGTACAGTTGCGTACAGTGTTAAATACATTCAATATTTATTCATTATTATTACCTATTATTTATTTTGTTTTTATCCCTAATTGATCTTACGCACTAGTTTCTTTACTTAAAATTTATTTAGTCTTTTTTACTACCGGAGCTACAATCAACAGAAAATCTGCACTGGTCCGCTAAAATTATAAATATGTAGATACATGTATGAACGATTCACCTGACTGCAATAAAACTAAAATTTAAACCAATAAGAAATCGTTTCATTTCTTTGATTTTTTTTTGTAAAGAAATAACACTAAAGTAATTGTATTTTATTTTGGGGTGTATAGAGCTTAGACTTGAATGCATCAAAATATTTAAAGCAACAAGTTATCTACAATAAGTTAAAATAGACCGAATAGTAGAAGAATACAGTTGTAAATTAGAATGCATCAACATTGCATCGCCCAACAGACGTATACCTCGTAAGAGTAGGTAATATTGTTCTGTGGTCTATACCTAGAACCGAGAATTATCTATACCTATGTACCTACCGTTAAGCGTTACTGTTGATTTCTGTTAAAAACGAACAGTTGTTGAATGATATTTTGATATAATAACGGTAATTTAATTTATCGAGTGAAAGTGATACATTTTTATAGATAAAATTATTGGTCAGATAATATTTGTCAATCAAGAATCGCTGATAATACATCCTTCGCTAGAACGCGGGAGGGGAGGGGCGAAGGGATACTTCATTGTTTGCAATTTGCATCTAGTGCACTAAACTTGACCCTTAGGCAGATAATATACGTGTTGTAAAGTACGTGTGCGCTTCCGCTTTCTATTTTTGCAAATATTTATCGTATTCTTGAGAGTTCTTCAATATGTGTGTACCTAATTACTAATAATAGGCATTAATGCTAATTCGATTCAATTTAAGTAATTGTCAATTCTTGTCTTAGGATATTAATTACTAATGCTAATATTGAAATTTCGTTCAGGGTGAACAAATTAAAAACGATCATAGGTACGACCATCTTTTAGGTAGACAACGATCATCTTTTAGGTAGGTATATCACTTATTACTAATTTTACATAAATAATTTATTTTATTAAAATTTAACTCACCGCGATTTTGTGATCAAATATTTTATTTTCTCCAACATTATTACAGAAATAATGCAATACAGAGTTTGTTCGCGATATGCTAGCCTAAGTCGATTCATCACTTAAAAAAATCCCCATCTATTCACAAAATACCTATTTACAACGCATACGTTACACTCTTCAAAACTTATCATTTCATTTCATATTTCTTAAATTACCTATACCTACCCTAAAATTAAACTTCAATTAACAAATACTACGCAGGTACCAATTCTATGAACAACTATAAACAATTCACCTAACATTACGAGAAAACCAAAAGCATTCAAAATAATACCTTATCTCCCGGCTGATTACTAATTATGCAATAAACAATCCTAAATAAAAAATATTTAAAAAACATGTAGTTTTTTGTAACACTTATGTACATATCCGTAGTAAACTTGCAAATAATATCCTACATATTTTAAAAGCCAGCACAATGTACTGGGTGATCGCTTTTTTGTAACCACCTAAAACATGGTCGGGTTACCACGGTCTTGCACCTTCTAATGACTTTTATTTAATTATCTCGTAAATTATTATATGTACTACGCTGAAATTTTACAGGTAGACAACTGAACTAAACAACTAATTATTGGCATAACATTCAGTTTATATATCCACACACAGGTTTATCGGTGGCCAAAAAAGGCCGCACACATTGTGATCGTGAACGTGGAGAGCTACATTTCATAAAAACTTTTTAGTCACTTACAGTATTCTTACGAAAATTCGTATACATTTGAAGGTAGTTACAAGCAATAGAATAACGTTTCAAGTAAGTCTTAAGAGGTCTTATTTAAAGTGTTAGGACGTATTTAAGTGTTTTCATACTTACCTAAATAATTTTTAAACGGTCCATTATTTTTGTTATTTTATTGTCGAACAAATTAAAACTAATCCTTAAGAAGTTATGTACAAAAGATGGTTACAATCCGCTTACTCGTTTCAGAGATCCAGCAAACCCACAAACGTTACTCCAGCAGGATTTCGAATAACTTCGCAACCGAAGAAAATACAAATACCAAATAAGTTGTAACATTTACCTAGTCCAGATAACTAATTATTTAGCTAAAATTTATTTCAATATTACAATTAAAAAAGAAAATGTCTGGCTGCGGTAACGTTTCAAACGTTACCCCAGCAGGAAATGTTTTTTTGAAATAACTAAAAAAGTTTAAGAGAAACAAATTTAAAAATGTGCCTAACAATTACAGAAGGGGAGCAACTAATTATCTATAACGTTTAAATGACCATTTTCGACATTATTTTGCTGGGGTAACGCACACAAGCCAGTGTCATACCACTGACACGCTATTGAGATGCCATCGAGTGGCCATTGGCATCGGTATAACTATCGGTAGTTGAAAATATATTACGTTTTTTGAGGAAATGATTTATTTGTTTTTAATAAATTATTAAAAGAAATAAATAAATTAAAATAACTTATTAAAAAAAAATAAAAAAAAAGAAAGAAATAAATTAAAATAAATTATTGTAGAATAAAATATAAAAATTATAAAAAAAGAAATAAATAAATTATTAAAGTAATTATTAAAAAAATAAGATTATTAAAAAAAGAAAAATAATATTTATTGAAATAAAAAAAATATATAAATTAATAAGTCATTTCCTTATAATTTAACAATATATTACGTTTTTTGAGGAAATGTTTTTTTTTTATTATAGTAAATTATTAAAAAAATAAAATTATAAAAAAAAAGAATTAAAAAAATATGAAATAAAAATTGAAATTAAAAACAATTTAAATAAACAAATAATTTCCTTATAATTAGAAAATATATTTATTTTAATATTATTTTTATTTTTTTATGTTAATAATTTATTTACTTCTTTTTTTATAATTTTTATATTTTAGTTTTTCATAACTTAATTTATTTATCTATTTTAATAATTTATTATAATAAAAATAAATAAATCATTTCCTCAAAAAACGTAATATATTTTCAAATAATAAGGAAATTATTTATTAATTTTAATACTTTTTTTTATTTTAATAATTTATTTCTTACTTTTTTTATAATTTTATTTTTTGAATAATCCATTTTTATTTTTTATTTCTTTTAATAATTTATTATAATAAAAATAAAAAAAATCATTTCATCAAAAAACGCAATATATTTTCAACTACCGATATTTATACCGATGCCAATGGCTACTCGATGGCATCTCAATAGCGTGTCAGTGGTATGACACTGGCTTGTCGTAAACATAAAATAGCAGAATTGAGGCCCAGGCGAGTCTCCAGATGTTAAGTGATTACCGCCACCCATGAACAGCTGCACTCAAAATTTGCAACTGCGTAGCCAGCCTTTAATACTTTCGTTTTTGAGTATACAGCCCTTCTCAAAGTGGTAGTCACAATTAAACATCAACTTATACGATGTACGATCAACTTCTATAAGTTAATAAATGCTGCTACCATCAGTGGAGTACATACTGCAAACATCACATTCTTCCTACTTTTTAATAAGTTATGTTTCGTTTATTTCAGAGTTCAGAAGCTACTAGATGCTGCTCGATACTCTTACATCCTACCGACTCACAGAGCGACCATTTATCTTATAGGAATGGTTATGGCTTATCTCATGAAGTCTAAGAAATTAAATTTCACACTGTCAACTGTAAGTAAAAATTTTAATCATGTTTGATACAGTGTCAATCCCTAAAAATCACTAAAATTTCTGACTTGAACGTAGATACCACTTAACGTGCTGGAACCACTTAGTTTTGTTTAAGGGGTTTCGTAGGCAGTAAACATGTTAGGAATTAATACATGAATTTAGATTGACTTTTAACCGATATTAAATTGGATCTACATCTGGTGACCTGTCTCGGAGAAAATCTGGAATGTAACGCCCGGTTTCAAGTACTTCTATATTTTTACGAAGCCTGTAAGACAAAGCCTCTGTCTTGACGCTAAAAAGTCCGTAGAACACATAGTAGCATAAGTCCTTAAATTCATCACAAGTTATAACTGTCGCCACCAAAACGTTCATATAGTCACATCGATTTTTGTACTCCTGCCTCTCGGTTGGTCCCTCAATATGGATATGAAATTTATTTGAAAGCTGACTAGTAGAATTTAGTACACCCTGAATTCTAAATCCAAAATAGCATCCGAACAAAAATTAGGTCTAAATCAATATGGCGGTTCATGGAATTTTAATAGTCAATATAGTAAAATTTAAATTTACTGTCAACTTAGGATTGTGATTCAAACATGAGTCACTACTCAAGTCAAGATTTCGTTATTACTATTGCCATGGAGACAATTTGTGAAATAATGATAAGATAATTGGGACATTAGCATTTCAGTGGCGGATTCCAGGTCCCAGCTCGGGTCAGAGGTATGGACCTCTGACCCGAACTAACTGTTGAAAGGAGGTCCGTAACTTATATAAAAAAGGATTTGTACTTGTTTTACTGAGGTTCTATGTTACTTTGTAACAATCTTAAACGAATTATGAATAAATTAGTAATTTTATATATTTTTATAACATATAATGTATGTGTAAAACTGCAATCTTGCAAGCCTGTTGCAATTGATTTCAAAATTCAAATGTCTCAAGAGAGTTAAATATTATAACAATCGGGGACTAAAACAAAGGCAGTTAAAAAACGAGGTTTAAATTATAAAATATTAAAACGTATTCTTTGACAATGTACGAGTACATACATTATGTAATGTTATAATGCCATTTTCTAGCCAAAGTTTGTCAACAAGCACAGTCGCTTTAAACTAAGATAACATTATGTACATATGTAGTCACGAAAGTAGAAAACGTCCTTTATGTCAAACGCATATTTTACTCGAAGAAGATCTGAGGAATCTACTTACCAATACCTTCTTACCATTTGCCTTAAACCACTCTACGTGAAAGATTCTACTTAATAATAAAAACTTATTCCATCTGATTTCAAAATAGGCTGAACCTGTACTATGGTAACCAGAGCACTGATAAACATACTTATATATTATTAATGACACCCAGATATAGAACAAATCACCGTACACTGTCCTGAGTGCCTCTGTCCTGGGTGCCTGTGTCCTGGGTGGGAATTCAAGCACATATTTATCATTTGCAGGCCCAGTCAAGACTGCTATGGTGCTCCTGCTTTGGCCTAGCTATATTCACGGTAGTTAGCCCCTACAGAATGGGTCTGGAAGGTTACCAATACGAGCACTACCCCGCTGCGATGTTTGCGGCCTTTTCACCCATACTATGGGGCTTGGTCATGTGCGTAGCCCATTGGGCGATATGTAACGATTATGCAGGTAAATAAACGTGACAATTATTTTATGTTAAGTTGTCTATTCTTATTCATAACGTGCGCTCTAAGAGTTTTGAGAAATGATAATTAATATTATGTTTAAAATACTTTCTACTGTAGTATTGTTGTAACGTGGCATCGACAACGATTTGTCGATTAAAAGATCATCGTATGCATAACTGTAATTTGAAAATGATTGTCCGTATGGAGACGGATTAAGAACAGCGGCACTGTAAAGAGAAGGAAAACTTGAAACAAACCCTATACCAACCCGTCTGGCCAGCGTGATACAGTAGCCCAAAACCTCCTTTCTAAGGCTGATGATAATAAAGGTGGCTATAACCGCATATATGTTTTAAAGCCGTTACGTCGATCATCAATCATCAACAGCCTATACTAGTCCACTGCTGGACATAGGCCTCTCCTTAGAAAGGAGGTTTTGGCCTACTATACCACGCTGGCCAGACGGGTTACGTCGATAATCGAATATATCATTAACATAGTCAAAATATTTGTTTGTTTAAATATAAATATAAAACACCAGTTAAGATTATGAACTGATTATGAAAATTAAAATACTCGTATGCGTGGGTGTTAATCCCGTATCATCATCAACAGCCTTTAACAAGATTTTTGTCAAGTTTTCCTTCCCTTTGCAGTGCTCTTATTCTGCGTAGTTTGATCCGTGACACTATATTCTTAATCCATCATCACATGGAACAAGCATGAATACTTATATGTATCTGGTCTATTATGTTTCAAAGGTGTAGGAACCGCTTTCGTTGAAGCCCGAGTGTTCAAATTCTTCAACAAGATCGCGTACAGCGTGTACCTGACGCAGTTCCCAATCTTTTTCTACAATGTTGGGATTCAGAGGCACGCCGAATATTACTCACCTTTACTTCTAGTAAGTGTATTAGTTTAGTGGGAAGTATACTTATCCATTATAGTTTATAAAACTAACTACAGTAAGTACACAATGAAAGGTCGTCGATGCTTCAGATAGAAGCTTCAAATATGTGTCAACTACAAGTGAAACGCAATATATATATAAATAGATATGAATCTCCAAATGTGATGATAAGTTCAAAACTCGAAAACAACTCCACTAATTGGGCTATTTTTTTATATTTTCTTTAAGGCACAAGGAAGGTTCTTATCGAGAGTAATAACGTAGAAAATGTTAACTTTAAAAGTTTTACGATATTACATTTATTATAACTTTTGCGAGTTATATAACACCTTTCCCCAGCTGTCAACCGTTAGACTTCAAAACAGAACAAAGGCGTGTTAGGATTGTCTATGGTATGCCTTCACGATAATTGGGCTGTATGGATATTAATCTATGCCTAGCTAAATAAAGTTCTAAGAAAAGTGGTCACTCTGAAATACATTTTATTTATTTTTTCTATTGGATTGCGACAGGCCAATAACCTTTGACAAAACATCTGTCTCAGACACGGGGCAGCTAGTTTTTAATTAAATAACAACACTCTCTTAACATACCCCTCGTTGTATTAAATCTTATTTCACTTCATCTGAAATCCAGTTTATTAAAAAAAAAGTGTAATATATCGTAGGAACTTTGTTATAAATTGCTAAATTTTCCTACAAATATCGATATAGATCATTGTAAAATGTCAACAACAACAACAGCAACAACAACTAACTACCGGAGACAGGTCTATGTCTAACAACGGGCCTGTTGCTTTAGTGGTTGATTTCCACTCAAGACAAATATTGTGTGATGGACACGATGATTTAATCTGTATCCGGGTGTAATTTATCTACGATATGTATGTATTTAGAAGTATATAACTGCCTCGGTGGCGCAGTGGTAGCGTATGCGATTGCTGTGCTGCGGTCTCGGGTTCGATTCCCGGGTCGGACCAAATACTTGTATGACCTGCAAATATTTGTTTCGGAGTTTGGGTGTTTTCTATATATATATTATGTATGTATTTACAAAAAAAGTATTTAAGTATTCTATCAGTCAATCTAGCTTTCATAGTACAAGCTCTGCTTAGTTTGAAAATAGATGGCATTGTGTGTCAGATGTCAGAAAAATGATCGAATATAGGTATGTTTATCAACGGGTTACCATAGCACAGGCTCTGCTTAGTTTGAGGTCTGACTGCCGTATGAAAGATGTGTCAAGTTATTATTATAATTGGGTTTATTTTAATTGACCAATCTCACTTATGGCCGTCTGATGATCCCGTACTAGGCAGCGCCTGAACTAAGGTACAGAGAATGTTTTTCAGCAGTCTCTATACCTTAGTACAGGCCCTGCTGATAAACATTGTATGTTTTAAAATACATTCAAATTATAAATAAATTACACCTAGATACAGCACAAATGATCGTGTTCATTTTACATTTGTTTGTCTTAGCATCCAGAATCGCAAGCCGTTAGACCAAAATCTTTTTGCAAAATATATACCTAACCTAAAGATAAATGTATTTATCTTATAGATTGTTCGATTTTGTAAAACAATTTATAAAGTAATCAAATTGATCACTTGCAATTAAATATGAATCATATTTCGTGTTCATGTTACAGTTGCACTTCCCCGAGGTACTGACCGTGTTATTGGTGTCAATAATGGCGACAGTTGCCATTGAAATGCCTTTCAACAAAGTTTATAGGATATATTTTGGTAAGATATTGTTTTCTTTTTTATCGTGGGAGAACCATGCTTTTTGCAACTACACTTATTCACCGAGTATGTGAGGTTACTGGCCCAGTTTTATCGAAAGGGGGGGGCTCGATATGTGCATGGGTGGAGGTAGACACGTCTGTTACTTCGCCACCCTATATCATGAAAAGAAGTAAACTACTTCGAAACACACAAACAAAATTATTTATTTTTAACACCCGACAGAAAACGAGGGGTGTTATAAGTTTAACCTGTGTATCTGTCTGTCTGTTAGTGGCTTCGTAGCTTCCGAACGGATAAACCAATTTCGATGCGATCGAGGTGGTTCTTAGCTATAAATTTTGAAGATCATCAGCTCACTTACTTACTTACTATTACAGCATATATACCACGTTTGGGCGTTAAACTGGTTTTTTTCTTTTCTTTATGCACAAATATGAATTGTACAATGGGGGCCTCAATGCCACAGACATTTTCTCCCAGTTTACCTTAGGGTGGTGCGGCAATGTGTGAAGGTGCACTAGACATTGTCAATTTTTCTTTACCTGAAAATTAAAAAACTACAAGTGATAAGTGAAACAAAAAAATGATAACATATCTGAAAAAAATAAATCGGTAAATATTTTAAAGCATTTAGTAAGGTTAAATTTCGTACTCCGTTTACTAAAACCACTTAAAATGTGTACATAGACCATTGTAAATATGAACTTTTTTTCTTTCCAGGTACATCACAGACGAAGTTAAAAGACAAATGATGACAAAGACTAGTGTTGTAACTTAATTATAGTCTGACATCACGTAAATTAGTTATTATAAATTTTTGACTATTTTTGTACTGTTATCATATAATTTAAATATAGAAAATAGATAATAAGTTATTAAAATAAAACGAATGTATATAAAAAATATTTATTTTCATTTTCGCCCAATTACAATTGTAATAAATCCATATTTTTATGTAACTTTAGGCAATATAACATAAATGCAAAGTTTTGTTCAACCTTTTTTTATTATTAGTTTTAAACATAAAAAACCTGGCATACATAAAACCTTATTTTTATTAAATTAAAAACAATTAAATAGAAATGGCTACTTATTTAATTAATAGGTATGTACAACTTCTTTAAATACAAAAGTCCATCAGTCTTAAATAAGTATCTTAACTAACTTTGCTCTAAATCATCTTAAAAAATGAAATAAACCATAAACCTCGGTCTCTTATATTGTGAAGAGCTGATTTGGGCCTTATTTCCAGCATCCGTGATGAAAATGAAAGCCGGCGCTACCAAGTATATAGATATAAATCTATATACTTGGTATCTATATACCTCAGTGTAGCTAACAAAATTTTACCTTAAATCTACCACATCTTCGTCTTTAAATTACCAGTTTTACCGTCATCGACATATTCTTCAATGATGACTGATATAACAGAGAGCGGCTATAAGTCATTAAAACGCAACATCATATTGTTGATCAACCCGTTCAATTTTAATGTATTTAAAAGAGTTTCGATGTGGCCAGCGCCATCTGTTGAAATCATGCTGAACTACTAAGTAAATACTGACCTTGCATTGTGCAGTAAACTTGTAAGTAAAATTTTTTTCTCCAGCAAACCATAATTTTCCGAGAAATCATTTAGGATTCATATATTTTTTATTAAATGACAACAAATCGTATGCTAGGCGTATTGTTTAAATTCAATAACTCTTTTTAGCAAACTACGCAGGACAACAGCACTGCGGAGAGAAGGAAACTTTGACACAAACCCTATACCAACCCGTCTGGCCAGCGTGGTATAGTAGGCCAAACCCTCCTTTCTAAGGAGAGGCCTATGTCCAGCAGTGGACTATTAAAGGCTGTTGATGATGATGAACCCTTTTCCTTGTTTAAACAATATCTAGTTTCTCTTCTAAAGTACCTTTTCTCCCATTTCCCCATTTTTAACCCCAAAGTGCCCGTTTGACGGCAATAAACTATAACTCGTTTGTATAATTTTCATGAGACTATACTACGCTGACACAATAAACGTAAATTCCGCCGAGTGTCTCTTGTACCACCGAGCGAATTTGTAAGTATACAAAACTAGGCATATAAAATATCTAAGACAGTCTATCAGCAAATTCCCGCAAGTTGTTTTTTCTCATAACATTTATCTAGCGTATCCACAAATACACAACTCAAATGCCGAATTTTAGTCTACCTAACTTTAGAAGCCAAAATTAGACCCTTCTTCTAGGATTATAGCAAAGAAACGCATAACTACTGCAAACCGACAAAATCAAAAAAAAAAAAAGATTTCCATTACACATATACACACGCTAATGAAACGTTGCATACTCTTCGAATATTCCGATAGAGACCTTGGAACTGTTTCATTACTATATCAACAATCTCATTTAATACCGTACGGTCTTATCATAAACTGTTTACTCCTATCTTAATACTTGAAGTTTCAACATCAGCTCGTTAACACGAGGCTGGTATCTTCGACGCAGTCAGGAGGCGCACTCCCCGGTTTGCACTTGCATCTGATGTTGTTCGTACTGTCCCTGACGAGCCAGGAATGTTCGGGACAAGGTCCTTGTGTGTTTAGGATGTGGCAGGTCCCGTTGTAGGGCGCTGTTCCTCTACGCATTGAGCAACCATCTACCTGGAAATATAGTGTAGTAGGTTGAAATAAGTGTAGTAGGTTGAATGATTTAAGAGGAGCGTGTCGCTAAATCAGATAAAGTGTTAGATTTTAAAATGTAAAGGGATATTAATGTAATTTTATAATTTGTGGGTAGTTTAAGTCTCATCATCTCTCAGTTTAAGGTCATCTTAATGTCCCAAATAACGTCTTTAATCCGAGGATAAATATACTGGGAAGCAACTCTGGATTTTACGATTACTAAAGTCACAGTCTCGGTTCCCATCTCATCTATTTTCCTTTGCATAATTTATGTTCTCTGTTTGTTCCATCTGAAATTCAGAACTTTTGCCTATGAATGAAAATATAAATAATATACTTTATTCTTGTTTTCCAATGTATGTTGCCAGTATATGACAGTTTGAAAATTAATTTATTGCATCAATGCGTGTCGCCAATTCATCCCTATTCATCCCTTGGTTGTTGTAAGAGCCGACTTACGGAGCAAACTACGCAGGACAACAGCACTGTAGAGAGAAGGAAAACTTGACACAAACCCTTTACCAAGCTATCTGGCCAGCGTGGTGTAGTAGGCCAAAACCTCCTTTCTAAGGAGAGGCCTATGTCCAGCAGTGGACTAGGAAAGGCTGTTAATGATCAATATTTAACCTTTTACTTTTAACGAGCCTCTACTTAGATCCACAGTGTTAGTGTGTGTCACGTTATTCATAGAAAAACTCCAGAATGATTTTCTAGTTGCTTTAATCTTCGTTAAGTATTTTGCATTTTTATAATGATTTTTATGTCCGTTAGCAAATGCGACGATAGAGTGAGTAAAATAGTGTTGTTGTCGGTAACATGTAAAAAAATATTTAACAGTCTAAACATGAATATGAGCGTTAACACGCAGTTTCTAGTAATAATCTTTCGAGTATGTGTACTTACTTCTCGTCTACTGCAAGCGCCACTACCACATGCACACACTCCGTTATGACTGAGCCCGTCTATGGCGGGGCGAGCCTCGAAGTCGAAGGCCACAACTTCTCCCACTGGGCACGGCTCGGCGGTGCCCGGCCGGTAGCAGCGCCGACGTTCGGGGACGTACAGCCGACCTCGTGCACAGGGGACCTTCACATAAACATGGTATATCATATATGTATCAATATTTGAATCTAATAAGGCCCAATATTAAACTAATGTTAATGTTTTAATAACGTAATTATGGCCAAAGGTTTTTATTTGCTGTGGAGAAACTGCGTATTCAAACTCTATACTAACTGGATGAACTACTAAGATGAGCATGTCTAAGCTTATTTAGGAGGGTTAAAGACACAGTCACATTTGCATATTGTATCAATACATGAACGAGCTCATCACCTTAAGGAAGCTCAGACATTTAGATAATTCTAAAGGTACGAGTATTATCAGTGTTAATGTATTAGATTGACTTTTTAAAACTACCAAAATATATTTTTTTTTACAAGATTTTTTAAGAAAAACGTGATTATGGTCTGAATAAAAGAAAACCTAAGGTCGCAATTCCCAGGCGCTGTCAGAGTCGCATGTGTTGCCCCCATCTATCACGCGATGGACCCGCGCGGTGAATCCATGGAACGTTAAGAAATAGGTCTCTGTTTGTATTGTTTTTTGAATTTTAATTTCATTTGTGTAACTTTATTTTTAGTTTAGTGTTATGTTTTCTTTTTCTGTTTAACTTTTTTTTCTACAAGCCCTTTTTCCCAAACTAGGTTGAATGATGGCTGATGGTCACCCATCCATACACTGACTTAGCTAGGATTGCTTAACTTTGCAATGTGTTAACATAATCGGTAACCACTTAGCCACGAGCTCCACCATCGATTTCTATTTAACTATTCTATACATTTAAGGCTTTTGCTTACAACAGTATATAAACTAACCTTTATACACCTTCCTCCCCTAGAAATCATCTCATCTTGTGCACAGGGTCCTCTCGTATACAGCCTGTAACAGACCCCATCAAATGCTCGAGCGTGGAAAGTCTTGCATATGCACTCAGCTCTAGAGCCGTGTGGTGCCACTTCTGCGATTGAGAACAGGTGACCTCTGGGACATGGGCCTATTGAATCTGTAATACAAGAATATATCTAGAATAATTTATCATCCATTTTTTTTATGAAACAGATAATTAACTCTTACATATTTAATAAGAGTTTTGTTCTACTTTCAAAATTAATTGCTAATTACATAACAGGGATAAAAATGTAGGTACATGTAACCGATTATGATAACTCACCCAGTTCATAGCAAGATGCTGTTTCATTATGGTAATGGGGTAAATTTGGCTCGCAGCCACACTTAGACCCAGGCAGGAACAACTGGCCTTTCTCACATGGACCCCGCGTGTAATGAGGGTAACAGCTGCTGTCTGCAGACCAAAAGTTAGGGCTCGAAGGTGTACACTGAAATTTAGAAAGGTAGAATATGTAATGAAACGAACAACATGTATTCTGCCACAAGCAGTATTTCAAACTCCAGTGCTGGAAGCATTTTAGACCACGGTAATCGTGCACCATCAGGTGAAAAACACGAAAAGTGGTATACGAAAAGTAAAATGTAGTATGTATATAAAGATAGCAGCTAAGTTAAAATAGATAGAAGCTAGAGCTAAACGGGGAAACACAGTTTTCGACTCGCAAAGACGTACCGTGCAATTCGCTAGCCCATCTGCCCCAACATCCAAAATGGCCCCAGGATAACAAGGTCCTTGAGTCAGCCTGTAGTAGCATTTGCCATCAGCCGGCCAGTAGATCAAGGTCTCGTCAGCGCATTGCTGAGGTATCACGCACATGCCTTGACGTTCACTGGAATAACAAATTATTGGCGATTAGTCACTAAGGATTTCATGTTTTGCAAGACTCGTGATGGAAATTATAGAATTGTTGAGTCAGTCCGCAAGAAATCAAATCGGTCAAGGTTACCGTTTTTGTCGAATACTGTAATAGATAGCGAGGACAAACGTATGTGTGTAAGGAAATTTTCGGAATCGAAATATCCTTGACCTAATGCAATTGTCACATCATCATGTCTGGTAATTAATTAGTGTAATGGTAACAGTTAACAAAATCCATTATATGCACTGGTTTTAAATTGATTTTTAAAGCGGCTGTTATTTAATAGCATAGATATGAATTAAATTAATGTTTATTGTACTTGTTTTATCTTATTTATGGACCTGGAAGGGGTATTGTTCTACTGAATGTCGTATTATATTCTGACAATAACTCTTATAAATTCAGTTGGATATGAACGTTGCTTCTGACTCTAGCCAAGAAAATATTTTTACACTTAATGAGAATGACGAACTGAACTGTATTCAAATAAATTGGCGGTAGTTATCATACTAATAGTTTCCTACAAACGTGTAGAATAATATAAATAAAGAACGAATCATGTTTGTTATATAACTAATAGATTTCATTAAAAGTATTTGGAAAGTATTATCTAGTATCGAACAAATAGGAGTTATACTTTGTATTATATCTGTCTCATCTATCATATAGGACTATACAATGTCCATTTACTTATTATAAGTAATAATAATAATTTATTTGCCATAATATTTTAGATTCAAGGTGAACATGTTTTTAGGTATCATAACCATCACATTATTTCATTGAACTCTGGTACCCAAGGTAAGATTAAACTTGTGGTATGGGTGACCAGGGCTCTCGCATAAACATATACAAAACAATCAAAATAATATCTTAGCGACTTGTTGTTACAATAAGTAGATATGTATTTATCAAAAAAAGTTTATACATTTCATGGTTTGTAACCTAGAACTACCCGCATAAATTATGTTATGCTGTGTAAAATTTCGAAGATTATTGTGAGTAAGTATTTATATTAGGGTTAGATAAATGTCAGGTAATAATACCTAATTTTTCTTCACCACAACCTATTTAATAGAAAATGGTAATACCATGCGTGTGCGCCGTGCCGCTCGGTATAATAAACTCGTTGCTTATAAATTTCTTATTTAGTATATCTGTCATCCTTGGTCAGCTCTTATGTAATTGACTTCTATTTTTTTCCTATGCATTCGTTAGAAAATATCCCAAAATATTTTTATGTAACACAAAAAATAGAAAAAAGCCGTGTGGTGTCGTGGGACACCCGATAGGAACGAAGTTGTGACGATCGAGTAAAACTGATTCGACACGATTTTAATTACAACGCCATCTATGAAAGCGGCTATACCTACATATTTTTCAGTTGGTTTCTAATTAAAACTATTTATACATTGGTAAAATCTCCTTGAGAAATGATTTCCTATCTATTCGATAGATGGCGCTGAATGACTGACAAATGACAATTCAAAATAAATACTGAGATGAAAAGTAATGATTTCCTATCTATGCGATAGATGGCGCTGAATAACTGACATAAAATGTGTCGTTACAACTTTTTGTGAGATTTTTTTCCGTTTAACCCCCTTTCACAATGCTCGATAAGGAACTTCGTTCCAATAAAAAATTGACAAGAAAATACAATTAATGTCAAGGGTTTTTTCTTGACATTAATTCTAAATTATTTAAAAAAACGGGTGAATAATTACCTGTACTATTCCTATACAATTTATTGAACTTTTAGCACATCTATAAATATTTCAAAAACCCATAAAGTTCTGAACTGATTGAGCTGAAATATTGACAAGATAAACAACCCGCTTCAAAAATTTTTTATCAAATTTTTTCGTCAGTTTTGTTTCTTGTTTCTCAGCGAATCATGGAAGGCTGTACAGATCGTTAATAATAAAGGCGTTTTTATGAGACCAAATGCACATACCCCAAACCGTTGAAGTACACTTATTCATCATCATCATCAGCCTATCGCAGTCCACTGCTGGACATAGGCCTCTCCCATTGCACGCCACTTAGATCGATTTTGGGCTTCTCGCATCCAGAACACAGACACAGTACACTATTTAGACTCATGCTAATCAAGATATGTTCTTGATAATGTTTACTTTTTTAGTAAGCCTATGTTGCAATTAATGCAATTTTTTAAAATGTCATTTCCAAAATCTCTTAATTGAAAGAACTATTAAACTAAAATTATTTATAGGTAAAATAATTCCTTAAGATTCATGGTGACCTCAAGATGCTTACCTACCCTCGCTTGTTGAACGATTCTTCGACGGGCGCGAAGTATTCCCCAGGTCTACAGGGTCCCCTCTCAAAGAGTTTGTGACAGGTATTTGTGTGAGGCAGCTGCGCCGTTCCGGGAGGACACTTACACTCAGCCACAGTCCGACCTCCCCATCGGCCAGGGCTTAACTCTTGAGTATCAGGGCATGGATATCCTTTCTGAAAATAAGAAAGGGAGATACATACAATTACATATTTCCTACAACGGATTTTTATCGAAAACCTTTTACCATGGTCGTGTATTATCTTTAATATCGAATAGAAGACCTTGTCATCGTTCTAGAACGTACATTAAATTATTATATTTTAAGCACAATAAAGAAGTACCACGAACAAGAGACGGTGATTAAATCGTTGCCTTTTTTTTACGTGTATAAAATCCCTTGGGTCGTCACCCCCGCCCGCTTAAGGTCTACTACGACACGGCTGATTTTGTAGTTGCATGCTATGAAGGACCCTGGACTGGATGAAATGGAGAGAGTAATTATTTTCATTTCTTTCTTTCTTTTAATCATTCGGCGTTATATACTTTCTCACATCCTGATGTACTTTTTCACTTACTCACTTCTTGGTGTACCTAGTTGTTGCCCAAGGGGGCTCAAATTTTAAACCCATATCCCTAGTTGATTTTTTGAAGTATTAAAACATTTTTACATCCATCATATTCAACGAGTAAAGCCATATCGACGTGGCATATTAATATATTGTCAAAAATATTTTAGTTAGATGCATAATTTACCTTAAACTATTTTACTTAGAAGTACTTAGACACGCAGAAGTGTTCTTCAGGTCACTGTATAATACTTATATAAGGCACTATCTTTACTAATCATGCACAATTCATCCTTAGTTATTCAAAATCTGAGGCTTGTTTATCACAACTACAGTGTTATCAGCCCAAACCATCTTCATTATTTCCTTTGTTTTAATCATCACAACTATAGTTAAGGATCAGCTGTTTATTATCACTCGTCACGCAACTATTGTAGCTTATTAATTAACTTTGTGAAAAACTCATAAGAATTTGCCTAAACAAAAAGTGTTATCTACTTAGCGATCGTGAAATATAATCCAAAAAACTGTTGTCTTTAGCAAGACTAAGTCTGTCAAATAGTATCTTATGAATATTTTTTGTTAAAATACAGAGGTATTTTAACAAAAATATTCATAAGAATAGATTTACGTACCTACAATAGATTATGTTATAAAGAGCTATAACATAATCAATTATACGTAATCTATTTAGATATTAATTAATAATGTTACTTGTTATGAAATGTTAAAAAGAAACCTAATATTTTTTAGTTATTCCAGGTAATCAAACTTCGTAGGTTCCCAAAACTTTACCTCGAGGCTTAGGTTCCACGAACTCATTAAAAAGCTGTTAACACAAAATTGTAACACGGTATAAGAAGTTAAGACAATCCACTTTGCCCAATCGGTGTCTACAATCACCGTGAGAGAGTAACGTGTAAACAAGTACTTAAATACCTAACGCTTTGTACTTATTTATAAGTAATTGGATATTGCGTTTTGTGTCTTAAGTAATCTAATTAAGTTTTTAAGACCTATAGGTACTTTTGATACATACTTTTGAACAATAGTGGCTATGTATATGTAGAACAGTGACTTACTGCTAGTTACAGAACTATTTGTAAAGTAGGAAATAAAGCACCCTGGCCAGTAAATGAAATAAACTATACGTTAGGACTCAGGCCCGTATCTTAAAAGACATCTCAAGTATTGGTTGAACTCTGATTGTCTGAAACTAGTTTTAAGTGCAGATCAAAACTTAAGTATCGATCTTATTATAGAACGCGTTTTAAGTTTTACTCAGTTGAAACTAGTTTCAAGTATTGATTTGAATTTACAGTATGTTCTCCATTACGTTTTCGCTTGATTGACGTTATTATTCCGTATTACGCAGCTAATCATTTAAAAAATGTTTTTTTCTTTACAAACATCACATAACATTACATAACATCAACAGCCTTTAATAGTCCTCTGCTGGACATAGGCCTCTCCTTAGTACGCTGGCCAGACACCCGTCTGGTAAGCGAAGGTATTGGGTTTGTGTCAAATTTTCTTCCCTTTTGCAGTGCTGTGGTCCTGCGAAGTTTGCTCCCTTAGATGGTTCTTACGACACTCACGGGATGAATAGTGGTGGTGACATTCCGTATTCTTTTTTTATCTTATTAAAGACAACTCCCGCACTAGGAGCATATCCTGTGTCGCGTTGACTTTACAAACATACATGAAACGGACACAAAGCACACCCAGACTCAGAACGACAATTTGTGGGTTACACAAAATGTTGTCCCATGTGGGAATCGAACCCCCAACACTCAGCGTAGTAGGAAGCGGCGTGGCGAGTGGCGACCGCTTAATCCACTACGCCATCCGTGCAGTCGATTCTAATCCGTCACCACAACGGATATCATTTTATATTGGACTTCTAATTCTTCTGCCTAATTGCTGATGTGCCCGGTCGACGGCAATAATTTGCCCCCTATCACGTAAGTAAGATAAAATTAGAGTTGGTAAAATTTGGGCATTTAAATGCCTCTGCCTACCCCTTGGGCAATACAGGCATGAATGTTTATATTCATTCGTTACTTCAATATCACTTTTCATTGGGTTCATCTCTATTCGTCCCATTTATATCTAATATAAAAGTAAACAACTATGCAAAGCTTTTCCATGAACTTTCATGCTGTAAAGCTGTATTTTTTATTTCAATTGAGAGTAAACCACTAGATTTTAATTATCGTTATAAAACAAACTCTTCGATTTGCTATTGAACCGTATTTTTTTTATTTTAACTAGCTTGAAGAAAATCTTTCATTCTACGTAAAATTCCAAATTCAAATTATTTGATAAATTGACATTGCTTTTCGTTTGGACACTGATTCTAGTTGTCGTATCAACACAACAAACAATATGAACAATTGGATTAATTTTGTGACTTATAAATTTAGGAAACCAAATCATCAAGCATAAAAACAGAGCGTCATTTAAGCATCAAAATGTAAGTGATGTATCTGACACACTGCATGCTGTAACTATATACTAATAGATGTTTCAAGCTAGCTTACAAACAAAAAAAGAGTATTAAGCTTAACTCTTCCAACGAAGTAAGAACTATTTTTTGTCCTAATTATGGTTTTACTGCGTATAACTATTTAAATAATTTTAAAAACTCATAACTTCCTTGAATAGAATCTTAAAATATTTAAGATCATTTACACTACACATAAATGAGCAGAAAAACAACTAAATGAATCAGATATCTGTTTTATAAACCAACTTTAAATACGGAGGAAGTTATTTGTATTATATTTGGGTATAACTTGTAAGAATTTTGAACCGGTTGGTTTAACTTATATTCTTTTTAATTTTTTCATGATGTAGGGACAATCGAGCAGGCGAATCACCTGATGGAAAGTGACTACCACCGCCGATGAATGCCTTCAACACAGGAGTTACAAGCGCGTTACCGGTCTTTGTGTTAGGAGAACGGAAAGGTACGGTACGGTAGGGTACGGAGTCCGGAAATGACACAGGTGGCAATCATTTTTTTAATGGCAAGTGGCAATGTGTTCGAGCACGTGTGCGTTTGAAAAAAGTAAAATAAAGACTGCAAGAAATATAAAACATTACTAAGTGCCAATCCTAAAAACAAAAACTTGATTTTTATCATAAGGTCGTAAAAGATTTAAAAAGCGAAAAATATGTAACAGTACCTACATTCCGCGCATACATTCGTCTACTAAGCCGAAAGTCACGTTCGTGTCAAGTGTCGCAGCACAAAACGCTGGCCATCAACGCTTTTCACTAAAGCGCACACAATTGAGGCCAAAAGGATTGCGTATGTAAGCAGTAATCACCGTAAAAGTGATTTAATATTACCCATTTAATAGTACCTGCTTCGCGACTGAGTAGGCTGGAAATTACTCGAAGAAGAAGAATTACTAGAGAATTTCTAATTACGTCACACCTAATGTAATACCACATCAGGTCTGGAAAATCTGATCATTAAATCGGCCCTGTATTAAGAGACTTCGTCTCATAGACGAAGAGGTTTTAGATGAGGCGGCTAGTATATATTTCCTAGAATGGAATTATAATTAAAAAATATCCTAACTAAAACAGGCATTACTAGTTTGTGCAACCCTAGCCGTGGGTCCATGGTGTACACCATAATATGGTGTACACCGTGTTTCCTCCACCCAACACCGACCTAGCTTCAGTCTTGCTGACCCTACCCTCTTAGGTTTTATAACGGTTAATTATAAAAGAGCGAAATATAGATATACACAAACACACACATATATATCGACTGGCCGGTTGGTCTATTTGTTAGTAACCCTGCTGCTAAGCCGGAGGTCGTAGGATGGATTCCCACCCAGAAGAAAAAATTGTGTATTGAACATGATCATTTGTTCTGTGTCTAGGTGTTATTATTATCTATAAAATGAGATACCCACATTTTAGAAATATTTAAGTATGTTTATGAGCAGTCCGGTTACCATAGTTCACGCTCTACCTTTTTTTTGTGTTAACTGTGTGGAAAATCTCTTCGGATCTCCGGCTCCTTGGGTACGTAGGAGCCAGGAGTATATGGCGTTTCCACTAAAAACCACCCCGACGGCCGGACTCAGGGATCCCGGAGAAGCCACGGGCTTCCCCCGCAGTTCACGCTCTATCTAGTTTGGGATTAAACTACCGTGTGTAAAGTTATTTTTAAAAAAGGGGGTTACGGCAGGTCGCATTTATAGTTTATTCAACTCACACTTACAACGCCGTCGAATGTACACATAAAATCCAACTTATACCAAGTCTACATGGTCTAAATCAAGATTCTAGTTCATGATAAGGGTATTTATATACGTACAAGATAGTGTTTGCATTTTCTGTCAGAGAAAACATTAAAATTATAATTTAAAGAAGACTCTTCCGCGTAGACAATCTAGAATGTGAAGCGCAACACGACCTGTGCGTTGGATAACAAACCACATGACGTGACCCTTGAACTGGCTAAGAACCAACCTCATCATCAACATCAAAAATTCAATCTTATGGTCTATAGAATAAGACTTAATTCTGTAAAAAAGAAAAAAGAACTACATATTTTTCATAAGCTGAATTTGTAATTCAAT